CTGCTTCGTAAAACATAAGCACACTTCATAAGTATTTACACAAAAAATTTGTCGCATACACAGAAAGTTGCTTTGTGTTTGAAGGACACTTCATCGCAACTGTAAATACACATATACATGGGCCATATCTATGCATAAACATGTGTCATTAATAAAACCAAAGTCCTTTAACAGGCATACACATCACGTTTTCATTTCTCCATTTTGTCATAATTCTCCACAATCCATTTAGAAACTGTAATCGATAAAGTTTTGTTACCAAAAAAAACTGAAAACCCAAAAGAGGTACAGCTAGAGAGAAACATGTGGAGCGTTCATCTAAATTTAGCTAAGTATTCTTAATTTTCCACATTTGGTGCCCCCCGATTAAGTGAGTTGATCATTGCATGCCATTTATTTGGATTCTTTTTTGCTTTTCTTTTTGTATGCGGAGTTGACTTCTATCTGTCGTTAGACCATTATCCGAGAGTAAAGATTCTATCAGATCATTCTATGAAATTGGCCAATATATACCATTCATGGATGATTAGAGGGTTAGCTTGGGAATTGTGACTATTCTTTCATGTGAACCACACCAATCCTACATAGGTGAGATTTATACGATTCTTACTGCTTATTCAAAGATATGTCAGACGAGCGCCTTCAACACTAGTTGGGGTTATTTTTCAAGAATGGAGGTTATGCTCAATCTAAAGACCATACATAAGACAACTTACTCTTACAGCAAATGAACCCCCATATCATTTGGTTACTATTATCAACTTAAAAAGAAAGTATAGTTGGACAATTAGATAGCATAACAAGATGCTGTTTATTATTGCTATGCTTTGAGAAATATACCTGACTCTAAATATGCTGTTTGTAGTACTATTCTAAGCGTTTGCTCTTTATTTGATTGTTTTAATATGTTTCCTTGGACATGAGTGATAACATTTGCTTTCAAGGTCATATCGGTGTTATTGTTGCTGAAGAGTAGCTTTTGCTATGCCATTTTTGGTTAGATGAAGAATTGGTAGTAGTCTTGCTTCTCATGATTTGCTGCGGTGGAAGAAGAGCTTGTCCAATCTAATATGTTTATGTACTTTCTACTGGCCTTCTCCATGAGAGATCATAATATTTCTATTTTGTAGTCTATTGACTACTAATTCTTCTGTATAAGAATTCTGCATTTTGTAGTCGCACAATTAAGCTTCTCTGAACTTTTCAATTGTGTAGTAATACCAGACAAAAAATCTGGGTGGTTCTGATGATCATCGTTATAGCCTTTATTATTTTGGTCTATGTAGATTTGAAGAAAGAGTTGAATATGTGTCTACCTCGCCTAAATTCATGGTTTGGTTCTTGGATCTGTATCTGGTGTAGGATTCTGATTCTCACTTCTGACTTCTAAGCAAAAATTTGATTGAGCTTGCAAATTCCAATCTGAAAGCTTATGCGAAGGAGATATTTTCTTCAAATTTGTAAATCAAGCAATGGTATTGACGACTCCCCAGTCTTGCGCCCCCCTCCCAAAAAAAAAGAATAGCCCTCTGGTTTTCCCCGAACACTATTAGCAATCAGCATGATACATTCTTCATGACTTGGACCTCGCCAGATTACAAAATTATCGACCATTGGAAAGCAAGAAAACGGGTTATATGGGTCGGGTCAGGTAACCTGTTTAATAAACGGGTTAGATCACATTGACCCATTTATTAAACGGGTCGGGTCGGGTCATA